CAGAAGGTAGATGAGATTGGGGGTGAAAGCCTGATGATCTGCCAAAGCATGGGACGGAAAGGCAGAAATGTAAGTGGAATGTAGCATGACCTTAGCAGCCAGAAGAAACAGTTGAATCTCTCAAGGAACTCCTCAAGTGTAGTGATGGTGGCTGCTCAGGCTTGAGTCCCTCACCAGCCCAGCCAGACCACAGTTTACAAACAGAGAGCTAAATCAGCAGCCTCAACAGAACATGTTGTCAAATGATCATGTCTAAAGACTGTTGATTAATGAGCTGATGTCAGCCAGGTGGAAGGTTATGAAAGCATGGTGTCACCAAGTTACCCTAGGACCTATTTGTAATATTCCCTTACAGAAAGCTTACACCTGGAAATGTAAGAAATGTGGGAAGGCAATTTATTCAGGGTAAAGGCCTTGGAAGACTAAATAATTCATACTGCTGAAAAACTCTATTTATCCTTTTAATGCCTTTAAATCCGTAGTGATGCCCCTACTATCATTCCTGATTTGATAATTTGTGTCTTCTTTTTTATCCTGATAATTCCACCCAGAGGCTTATCAATTTTATTGATCTTTTTTAACAACCAGCTTTTGGTTCTATTGATTTTCTCTATTATTTATCTGCTCTTATATCATTGTTTCTTCTCTTATCTTTATTACTTCTTTCTTTCTGCTTATTTTGGATTTAGTTTGCTCATTTTTTCTGTTTTCTTAAGGTAGAAGCTTAGATCATTGCCTTGAGATATTTCTTCTTTTCTAATGCAAGAATTTATTGCCTTAATTCTCTCTAAGCGCTACCCATGCATTTTGATATGCTGTATTTTCATTTTCATTTAGTTCAAAGTACTTTCTAATTTATTCATTCATTTCTTCTTTTATTCATGGGTTATTCAGAAGTGTATCACTTAGTATTCCAATATTGTGAGATTCTCTGGGTATCTTTCTGCTATTAATTTATAATTTAATTCTACTGTAAGACATACTTTGCATACCCTTCCATACTCTGAATACTTTTCAATTTATTGAAACTTGTTTTGTGGCCTACAATATATTCTACTTGGTAAATTTTCCATGTGCACTTGCAAAGAATATACTGCATTCTGCTGTTCCTAGGTAAAGTGTTCTATATCGATTGTCATGTCCTCTATATCCCTACTGATTCTGTTTACTTGTTCTACCAGCTGAAATCCTGAACAACAAATGTGGAGTTATTTCTCCTTTCAATTGCATCCATTTTTGCTTCATGTACTTTGAAGGTCTGGCATAAACATTAAAGAGTGTTAGGTACTCTTGATGTCTTGACTCCTTTATGATTACGAATTGTCTCTCTTTACCTCTGTAAATTCTTTGCTCTGAAATCTTCTTGTCTATTATTAACATAGCTACTCCAGCTTTCTTCAGATTAATGTCTACATAGCATATCTATTTCTATCCTTTTATACTTTTAATTTATCTGAGTCTTAGTATTTAAGGTGGGTTCATGTAGACAGCTTATAGTTGCATCTTCTTTTCTAGCCAATCTGACAATCTCTGTCTTTTGACTGAAATTTAGACCTTCTGTAATTAATGCAAATATCAATATGATATGATTTAAATATATTATCTTTGTTCCTTCTTTCCTCTTTTTCTGTTTTCTTTAGAATTAAATGAGTAATATTTATTCCATTTACTCTCCACTATACAATAGTTAGTGTTACTGTATTAGCTCTAATTCTGTTTGTTAGGTTTTAGAGATAACTCAAGTTTAATTTACTTCATCACAGTCTATTGTCAAATACCATTGTGTCATTTCACAAATAGTCTAAGAATTACAAAAGTAAACTTCTATTTTCCTCCTCCTTTATTTTTTTGCTAGTATTATACATTATACTTTTACATGGACTATCATTGCCATAGTTTGCCTTAAACAGTTACCTTTAGTGTTTAAAAATTTTTAAAGCCTATATATTTATCCCCATATTTTCCATGTCTTGTGTTCTTTCTTCCTAAAGATCCAAATTTCCATCTAGTACCATTTTATTTCTGCCTGAAAAACTTCCTTGAACATTTTTTATAGTGAAGATCTGTTAGTAATGAATTCTCTCAGCATTTGTTTGACTGAAAAGTCTTTACTTCACCTTCATTTTTGAAAGATACTTTAAAGATATTGCTCCACTGCCTTTTTGCCTTCATATTTTCTGATGAAAAGTGTACTCTCATTCTTATTTTTGTTTCTCTGAATGCATGTGTCATTTACTATCAAGTTTTAAGATTTTTCTCTTCAATTTAATTAGGACATGTCATTGTTTTGTTTTCACGTTTCTTCTCCTTAGGGTTGGTTAAGGTACTTGGATCTGCGAGTTTATAGTTTTCATCAAATTTGGGGAAAAATATTTCTTCAAATATTTTTCTATTACCCTCCCTTCTTCTGAGAAGGCACTTACATATATATTAGACTGCTTGATAATGAAACGCAAAACGTATGCTCTTTTCTTAATTGTTTTTTTCTTTGTACTTGACGTTGGATAACTTATATAGCTATGTCTTCTAGTTCATTAATATTTTCTTCTCCAGTATCTAATCTCTTAATCATATTCAGTGTATATTATTACTTTAGATATTGTACTTTTCATCTCTAAAAGTTCTATCTGGGTCATTTTTATACCTTCCATTTATTTCTTCATTACGCTTTCATCCACTACTTGAAGGATATTTATAGTAGCTTGTATACTGTATTTGTCCATTTTCACACTGCTATAAAGAACTGTCTGAGACTGGGTAATTTAGGAAGAAAAGAGGTTTAAATGACTCAGTTCCACAGGCTTAACAGGAAGCATGGCTAGGAGACCTCAGGAAACTTACAGTCATAGCAGAAGGCAAAGGGAAGCAAGCACATCTTACCATGGTGGAGCAGGAGAGACAGAGGAAAAAGGGGGAAGTGCTACACACTTTTAAACAACCAGATCTCGTAAGAACTCACTCACTATCATGAGAACACCAAGGGGTGTTCTCCATATCCATAGAGAATACTCCATATTCATATCCATATGGGTGTTCACCATAATCCAATCACCTCCTACCAGGTCCCTCCCCCAATACTGGGGGTTACAATTCAACATGAGATTTGGGTTGGGACACAGAGCCAAATCATATCATTTACTAATGCTGTCATCTGTCATTCTGAGTCTGTTACCATCGACTAAAGATTCTCCTGACTGTGGAATGCCTTTTCCTTTTTTTTTTTTTTTTGGCATGCCTGGTAATTTTTTAATAGATGCTAATCACTGTGAATGTTACACTTCCGGTGCTGGATTTTATTGTAGTTTTTATTTTTATTCTGAGGGGTTGTCTCCCCTTGGATGCAGTTAAGTTACTTGAAATCAGTTTGATTCTTTCAAATGTTGCTCTTAAACTCTGTTAAGGCAAGTCCAGAGTAGTCTTCAGTCTATTCCCATCTCCATAACCTAACCCTAACCCTACTTTGGCAATATCTTGCTGAAGACTCTACTCAATGATCCATGTACTATATTAAAAGATCCACTATTGTTGAAACACGCATTCTTCCCAGCCCTGTATGAGCTCTGGGGAATTTTTCTTTTTTCTTGTTTTCTTTTTTATTTTTTTTGAGATGAAGTCTCATTCTGTCGCTTAGGCTGGAGCACAGTGGTGCAATCTCAGCTCACTGCTACCTCCACCTCTCGGGTTCAAGCAATTTTCCTGCCTCAGCTTCCCAAGTAGCTGGGATTACAGGCACCTGCCACCATACCCAGCTAATTTTTGTATTTTTAGTAGAGTTGGGGTTTCACCATGTTGGCCAGCCTGGCCTCAAATGCCTGACCTCAGATGACCCATCTGCCTTGGCCTCCCAAAGTGCCAGGATTACAGGTGTGAGCCACCAAGCCCAGCCCTCTGAGGAATTTTTCATCACTCCTTTCTCCTGTCATTCTTTCTCCAGCCTCAGGCAATTTCCTGCCTCAATTTTGTTTTCTTCCTTTAAGGAATGTTCCACTTTATTTGGCAGACAAAATGAGGTTACTTAGAAATCATCCTGAGTCTCTCAAGGATTATTTTTAAGCTTTCTTAAAGTTGGTATACATGAGCCTTTAGTCTAGCTCCAGTTTGGATCTCCCATGAAAGTATGACTTTTCTGAGTTTCTGCTCAATGCCCCACATGTTCAAGATCTTTCCACTTTAACTAGTTGGCATTCAAACATCTCCCAGCTTGGTGTGAGCTCTGAGAGTTTTTCATCTTATAACTCCCTGTCAGTTTTTCTTTTTCACCTAATGTAACACATATGCATCTATGTCTACTTAATTATAAGTTAATAAACTTCTCATTTTAAAAGGCTTACATGTATATTTTCAGAAGCAGCAAGGTAGACAAAAAACACTGGTGAAAATTGTATCTGATCCTAAAGTCAGTCTTTTGGAGACTACAATTTCATTAGATAGATGCTGACAGCCATCAAGAGAAAAGGAAATCACGCTGAGTTTCTGGGGACTACTGCAAGAAGAAAAATAACATAGAGAGCTGGCCTCAACCTCAAAAGTGATCCTACATCTAACCAAATTTAAAAATCCACATGAAGTTTCTCAAAACCTACTACAAACAATTTATCAAGATAACTGGTTAGCACTTGGGGTACAATGTGATAACCTGACATCATTTTTCTTGGAAAAATCGGGGTTAGAACCATAGCTTTGACTTCATTATCAATACATTTAACCAACAATCTGGGCTCCTCTATGGAAGTAGCTTAAATGCCTTGCAGATTAACCATGGACTAAGAACTTTCTTTGATCTTGAATACTCTTCCAAAACACACAACCCCAGGGCTCCATTTCTCACCCAACATAATTATTCCTGAGCAGAGCATTATCTAATAATATCAAGCCAGGAAACTGCCTTGGGGTACTAAGGTGAAAGGATTTAGCCAAGTAGCAATCCAAATATGAACAAGGAAATGAGCCTAAGACACATTAAGTATTTAGAATAAGCCCCACCTGACTGATGACCAAGGTAGATTAAGCTTCATCTTTAATTATTGATGTTAATGATCTGCCGTGAGCAAGACGATCTCTAAGGTATTTTCTAATTGTGAAATATTATTCTGTCTTATGTGTCAGACATAACTGATAGCCTAACATTACGTGTGCTTTACTGACATTTCTGTCTGTCTTACCAAAAGTAAATAGTTCAACTGTTGTCATCATCTAAAGGTGCCACCACTTTTATTTGTTTACCAGATCAGCAGATGATACTGGTCCATTACCCTTGACCTAGTCAGACCTTGACAAAAGACTTAATGATGCTATTTAGGATGCATTTCCTTGCTGCTTTGTGCAGGCGGCTTTCTCATTGTTGCATAGACAGTGATAGGAACATCAGTTATTGTCAGGCAATGACTTCCAGGGCACCTCCGGAGTTGCCTGAATAAAAAAGCAAATGACATGTAGTTAGATATTAAAAAGGGGAAATTTTTTTTCAGAGCACCAAAGTGTGATTGTATATTTTACTGTTTTAAAACACTTTGAAATCTCTGAATGTCATAAAATGAGTATAACATGGTGATGCTGATGAGGCACCCATTTTAGACTGATATAACAAAGAAATTGTGGCCTCTGACATACATTTAATCACAGGAAATTCATATATTCAAAGATAATCCTCCAGATATTCATTTTGAAAGGTATGCAATGATTGCTAAATGGCAAAACAAAAGTGCATAGTTACAAACATAAGAGATAATACCATGGCAATTCATGTGCATATGCACCCTAAATCGCCTCAGTTGAGTGATTTCAAAACAAGAATGTTTGTGGCAAAATACAAAACTGAACATAGTATTTCACATACTGTTCAAATGTTGATAGAATCTCATATTTGAAATGGCCCTTAAATGACACCTAGTCCAAAAATACATCTAGTATATGAATTTCCTTTCCAACATTCCCACCAAATAGTCATTCAGCCTTGCACATTTCAAAAGACCGGGAGCTCACTACTTCCCAAAGTAGCCTATTTCATCCTGACTAACTCCAATTTTTAAGTACCTACACCTGTTAAACTTAAATCTGTGTTCCCAAAATTTCCAAGCCATGAGAATCTAACAATGTAGTATCTAAGGTTTTGCTATAGTAAACATCACAGAAGTGAAACTAATCATTCTGCAAAAATACTTTGTCTCACAGAATCTTCATACTCTATACCACTCTTTCTGCCAAAGGTCACAGCACAGCCAAAGTGACACTAATCAAAGCCAAAGTGACACTGAATCTGAGGTCTAAGTCTTTCATATTTTTAGCCTTATGCCTAGCACGGTGCCCTACACACACTAGCAACTGAAGATTTGTTTGTTTAATTGAATGTTATCTAATCGTGAAGCTATCAACAATCTATTAGGTTGGTGCCAAGGTAACTGTGGGTTTTTTGTTAATAGCTAAAAATGTACCTGAAAGAGAGAGTATGAATTGGTCTATCATCAAGACTTACAGAAATACAAAATACAGACTCCATACTAAGGAAACCTGGGCTCTGTTCATACTAATTTAGAAACAACAATATTTTTGAATTGCTGAGGGTTTTTTCTTGCTAATACTGAATATCAGCTGAAGGTTGTATTGATGATAGCCAGTACGTATTTCCTCACTTGTGAGGATAGAAGACTTTACCTGGTTGGTGACATCTCCTTCCCATTACAGGCAGCACTGGAGCTCAGCCCCGGTTCCAGCCCAATTGAAGAGTCTCCTCCTTCCACTGGAAACCTCCTTGGCTGGGTTCCAAATCGAAAAGGCATAATTCACTGAAAACCTAGATTAGAAAGTTAAAATATTGAAAACCTAGATTAGAAAATTAAAATGTTGGGGGTGGAGATAGATTGTCTTCAAAGACTTGTATGGAATGTTTTACAGAGTCAGAGTCTCACTATGTCGCCCAGGCTGGAGTACAGTGGTTATTCACAAGTGCAATCAAAAGGCACTACAATTTTGAAACCCTGGGCTTAAGCGATCCTCCTGCCTCAGCCTCCTGAGTAACTGGAACTACAGGTGGACACAATGTGCCTGGCCTTGGGATTTTTAATATTACTATTTTGTTATAGACGTATAGAAATATTCTGAATGTTATTCTATTTTTAAATGGCTAAAAAAGTGTTTAAAATTACTGTATTTCACAACCATCCCTTACGTACAATTTTAAGTCTTGCAAAAAATACAAAATAGCCACCAAGCAATGCAAGGAAAATGTACCCTATGGTTAACATAACTGAAGACCATTTCTGCTGTGTGAAAACAAAATTCAGTTTGTCTTTAAATGGTTGTTGCAATCAACAAGCACCTCTCTACCTATCTATGCTCTTCTCTTCCTTTGGAGCACAGCTTCACATTCACTGAAATATCTTCAGCTAATCCTTCTTTTCCAGGTGATTATTCATTTCCCCCCTGCTTCTCTATAGTCACAGTATAGTCCCTGGCTCTGGCCCTTCCCAACTGTGTGATCTTAGTCAAGGTACTTACCTATATTTCTCAAGGGTACATTGGTGATAATATTTTCTACTTCTAGGGTAATAGTGAGGATTAAGTAAGGTAATACACATAAAGTGCAGTGCCTAACACACAGTAAGTGCTCAGTAAATGTTAACTATTACTATTCAGCAGGTACTACTGAGCATTAGTAAATGCATAGAAATGTCTGCAAGTATACCTGATATATGAAATTTATTATGAAATAGATATGATTTATACACACAAACATATATAAATGAACTCCTTACTGCCTACCTTGGAACTCTTCCCTACCCCATTGCTCCCACCCTTCACTCACTATGGCCAATGCAATCCACTAAGCCTGAATTTATATTTTACTTACTCTATAACTTACTTTTATAACCCCGATTATCTACATTTTCATAGCAACCTTTATTTCTGCTTGGTAACAGTTATCCTTCTAATTCAGGGTTTCTCAATCATGACACTATTCACAGCTGGGATCAGACAGTTCTTAGTTGGGGAGGGAGGATACTGTCCCGTGCACTGTAGGATGTTTTGTAGCATTCAAGGCCTTCACCCACTGGATGCAAATAGTACCCCTCTCCCAAAGTTGTGACAGTACAAAATGTCTATAGACATTGTCAAATGTCCCTGGTGGGAGACAGAGGCAAAACTGCCCACTGTTGAGAAACACTATCCTCATTTTTTGTAAATGTTTAATATCCCCCCTCATTCCAAGTCTGTCTTTGTCATCACTGAATACTTAATACCTAGAACAGTGCTTGGTTAGCTTTATCTTGAAATAATTTGCATGTATTCAACTATTAGTACACAAAGGATAGGAAAAATTTTAAATGGTGCAACTATTTCTTACACTTAGTATAGTATTCTATGCCTAAAAGTAAATGTTTATTGGTGGTAATAATAAAATCAAATAACTTTTGTAGACTGTGTGTCAATATCAAGAAAAAAAGTGTTTTGCTCAATGATGATTTAGTAAAACCATAGTAAACTCTGTGGTTTAGTATAACTACCTGTCTATGCAGGTATTAACATTTAACTAATTTGATCAAGGATAAACAGACTTACCAAAAGAGGCTGAGTCTGATTTCTGTAGAGGCGAATAAATCAATGCTTTCTACTGGCCTTCCATAGAAGGCTGGAATTGCCAAAGGAATGATGATCAAATGTTCCAGTGACACCCGGAAATTATGACATCAGGAGATTCTTTCACATAGTTTCCTACCTGCTAAAGAATCAAACATCTCAATGCATAGCTCCAACAACAAGCTGAGGCTTAGCTAACAATTTTCTGTAAAGCTTTTTGGAGAGTTTCATTCTTGTTTTTACTGGCTTATTTCCCTACAATATTAGTATTTTCATCCATGAATGGGGACCTACAGTCTGATCCATCTGTACAAAATCAGAATTGAGATTCTTCTCATTTTATATCCTGTTTTCCTCATTCTCTTTCTCTCCTAGACCTTCTCTTATAATATCCCAAATAAATACAACCTATCTATATCCTCATCCCACTCCAATATCCTCAAACCCAAATTATACCTTTACAAATTTCTCTATAACTCTTACATGGGATTCTTTACACCCTCTCTCTAATGCCTGGACTAACCTTTTTTTTTTTTTTTTTTTTTTTCCTGTTTCCTCAAGAGAGCCTTCAAATTCCCAAATGGCTGGAAGAATTACAATTGTGAAAGGAAGAATACACCTTGTACTGTCCTCATTATTCTGTTCCCTGGGCCCCGGCCTGCTTCTCTGCTGATTTCTCTAACTGCTCTCCCTCTCCCAACTCATTCTTGGCTTCTAAATCAATAGCTTACCTCATGAACAGCTGCTCTACTCAGTAATGTTTAGTTTAACCCTTACACCAGAACATAACTCTTCAGCTAAGCAGTTTTTCAGTTTTCATATCTGATGATTAAACCATTAAATGTTAGTGAGCATTCTTACCACTGTTGTGTTTTCATATGACTCATGTTATAGAACACTGGCATTTTACATAAGAATTAACTTGATGTTGGATACAATCTTACCTCTACCTTCTTTTTCTTACTAGGGTACTATCTGTGAATAAGTTGATCACCATTTTAGCTTGGAAAACTGATGGTGTCACAGTCACACAAACAAATAATTGCTGGCCATTGTTAGCTAAGGTATCATTAGGACCTAAATATTTAGTACTTAGGATGGCAAAAAAAAAAATAGTTTACATATTTGAGAAGTGGTAGCAGTGGGAAAATGATGGGTTTCAGCATCAGAATTAGGTTTGATTTTTTTTCTTTTTTTTTTCTTTGAGACAGGGTCTTGCTCTGTCACCCCGGCTGGAGTGCAGTGGCATGATCATGGCTCACTACATGCAGCCTCAACCTCCTGGGCTCAAGCAATCCTGCCACCTCAGCATCTCAAATAGCTGGGACTACAGGTGCAAACCACCATGCCCAGCTAATTTTGTATTTTTTTTGTAGACACAGGGTTTTACCATGTTGCCCAGGCTGGTCTCAAATTCCTGGGCTCAAGTGATGCACCCACCTTGCCCTCCCAAAGTGCTAAGGTTACAGGCATGAGCCCACTGTGCCCAGCCAGGTTTGAATTTTGACACAATGTTAGCTCTGAGATTTTAAGCAAATCACTAAAAGTTTGTCTGTAAAATGGTATTAATTCCTACCTTATAAAGTTGTTGTGAGGAATTAAAAACAATTTAACATGTATAAAGCCAATGACTGGGACACAAGAATTCAATCAGCACTACTTCCTACATAGTTTTGTGTCATTCTTGAAATCAGAGTATTAAGACACTGATTTCACTTTTTAGTCACCGATATATATGAAGTAAAATATCTGTAAGTGGAATATTCTTAAAATTCTGTAATTTACCATTTTAACTAGTCCATTTGCCATACCATGCTTCTTTAGAATGGGTGATACGATGAAACAAATCAAACGTTAGCCTTAATGATGAAACTTTACAACAGTAGAATGATACATCAGAACACAAAAGGAACTTGAGTCTCCAGCATATTTTCATAAAGCAATAGATAAACGGAGCAATACAAATGGTGAATAAAAAGATGGGGAAGTATCCAAATACCTCCTTAAGTATCATAAGCTCAAGAGCAATAGTCTTTCAATTCTCAAGATATTAACTCATGAGATGCAGAAAATTAGTGATATTTGAATTTGTCATGTTCTAAGAAAAAAAGATCCATGGACTTCATTCATTCATTTAAGGAATATTTGCTGAGAATCCACCACGAGTCAGGCACGTGTTAAGTGTTAAAGATAAAAGGTTAAGCTAAAACCAACACAGTTCCTGTTGTGGTAGAGTTTATAGGTTACAATAGGATTTGTTTTGGTCTAGGATATTTAATCTAAATCTAAAAGATGAGTGGGCATTAATTGGTGGCAATGAGTGGGAGACAAAAACATTGACACAGTTGAGGAGGGGGCAAACAGAGGAAAACAGCATGTGCAAAGGTCATGCCAGTAAAGACAATAAAAAAATCTGAAAGGCCAGCATAACCAAAGCATGGAAAACAGAAAATAAATATAGTCTGAGACATAAGTACAGACCAAATCATGCAGGAGCATAAACTCAAGTTAAAATTTTAGACTTTGTCTTATGAACAAGGAAGCCCATCAAATAATTTTAATTTCTCAGGACACATATTTAGGTTTCATTGATTTTTCTCTATTTTCTATTTACCATTTACTTGATTTCCACTCCAATCTTTATTATTTCTTTTCTTCTGTCTACTTTGGGCTTAATTTGCTTTTCTTTTTCTAATTTCTTAAAGTAGAAGCTTAGGTCATTGATTTTAGTGCTTTCTTCTTTTCTAATGTAAACATTTAATTCTACACATTTCCACCAAAGCACTCCTTTAGCTGCATTCCACAAAATTTTTAATTTTGTATTTTCATTTCCTTCAGTTAAAATTTTTCTTTTTTTTTTCTTTGGCCTATGGGTTATTTATAATTATATTGTTTAATTTTCCAATATTTAGGAATATTCTACTTTTCTGTTACTGATTTATAATTAGGTTCCATTTTTGTTAGAGGACATTCTTTGTATGACTTGAATCCTTTTAAATTTACTTAGACTTGTTTTTATAGCCAGAATGTAAACTGCCTTGGTAAATGTTGCGCACATACTTGAACGTATATGCTGCTATAGTTGGCTTCAGTGTTCTATATAAGTATTTTCCAATATTTAGGAATATTCTACTCTTCTATTCTGATTTCTAATTAGGTTGGTTCCGTTTTTGTCAGAGAACATTCTTTGTACGACTTGAATTCTTTTAAATTTATTTAGAGTTATTTTTATAGCCAGAATATAAACTGCTTTGGCAAATGTTCCACAAGTACTTGAATGTATACGCTGCTATAGTTGGCTTCAGTGTTCTATGTAAGTAATTTGTTGATTAACAGAATTGTTCAAGTCTTCTACATTCTTACTGATTTTCTATATAACTGGTTTATCAACTATTGAAATAAGGGTGTGAAATCTCCAACAATAATTGTAATTTTATTTACTTCTCCTTTCTATTCTGCAGTTTTTAGTTCAGGTATTTTGAATATGTGTATAATTTATAGATAAATTATATCACCTCACATACACTAGAAGAACCGTATAAAAGTATAGTCCATTTCCCCTCCCACTACATATAATTTTGTTGTCATATTTTAATGCCATCTATAGTACAAACCCCATACACAGCGTTATACATTTTCCTTTAAGCAATTGTCTTTAAAACAAGAGAAGTCTTTTATATTCATCTACATATTTATAGTTTTCAGTGCTCTCTATCCCTTTGAGTAGGTCCAGATTTTCATACAACATAATTTTCCCTTTGCCTGAATGTTTTCATTTAACAGTGCTTGTCTGTTGCTGATTAATTAATTTAGCTTTTATATCTCTTTTTTTCATATTCATTGTGGAACAATATTTTAACTGGGTATAGAATTCTCAATTGTCAGTTTTGTTTTCTTTAAGTACTTTGAAGATTTGGGTCCACTATTTTCTGGCTTGCATTGTTCCCAATAAGAAGTCTGTTGATTTTTTTTATCTTTGTTCCTCTATATGTAATATGTCTTTTTTCTCTGGCTGGCTTTAATATTTGCTTTTTATCACTGATATTAAGCAATTTGATTATAACGTACTTGTTGTAGTTTTCTTTCTGTTTCTTGTGCCCAAGATTCACCGAGCTTCTTGGATCTGTGGGTTCATAATGCTTATAACATTTGAAAATTTTTTAGCCTTTGTTTCTTCAGATATTTTTTTGTTCCCTCCTCTGGCACGCCAATTACATGTATGTTACATTGTTGAAAGTTGTCCCACAGTTCACTAGTTCTCCTTTTATAAAAAATCTTTCTGTTTTCTGTTTTATTTTGCACAGTTTCCATCACTACATCTTTAAGTTTGCTGATCTTTTATTTTGCCTAATGTCTAATCTGCTCTTTATTCCATCCATTTTTTTCACCTTAGATGTTGTACTTTTCATCTCTAGAAGTCTAATTGGGATCTTTTTTTTATATTTCTTTGTCCCTTCCCAACCAGCCTGGGCTTCCTTCTGTCTTTCTGAACATATACTGCTTTAATGTTCTTTTAATTTTATGTAATTTTCATGTTTACTAATTCTTTCATTTGTGCCATTTCTTGTTCTGTTTTTAACTAATTTTTCACCTCATTATGGGACTCACCTTTGCATATCTGGCAATTTTTGACTTGAGTGCCAGGCATTGTGATTTTACATTGGTAAACAATTTTATTTTTATTCCTCTAAGTATTTTTAAGTTTTGGTCTGGGACACAGTTATTTGGAAACAGCCTGGTTCTTTGGAGGCTTGGTTTCATGCTCTCTTAGGCTAGATCATAACAGCCTTTCATCTAGGGCTAATTTTTCTCCACTACTGAGGTACCTTTCTGAGTATTCAACTCAATGTTCCAGCTATTTTAAGGTTTCTCCACTCAAGATACAGGGAATGTGAATTAGTCCTAGCCCTATGTGAACCCTAGGAATTGTTCTGCCTGCTTATTTCCAAGGTTCTTTCCTCAGTGTTACTTAGTTTCCATGAATTCATGCAAGGATCAGCACTCAGTTTAGGCTCATGAGGAACTCCCTAAAGATTTACAGAGTTTTCTTTTTGCATACTCTCTCCTCTTTGGCATTCTGCCCTGCAAATTGTAGCTGTCTGATCGTCCAAAATTTCTAACTCTGTCGCCTCAACTCAATGTGGCCATTGGGTTGTATTTGGACTCTATTCATTAGAAAGGTGACATTAGGTCTAGCCTACCCTCAAGGAGAGGGGCTTACACAAGAACAGGAGACAGAGATCATTGGGTGCCATCTTAGAAGATGCCTACCACAGATGCTGTATTCTGATGTAATGTCTGAGAATGCTTGTGCAGTACACACAAGTGTTTATCAAATATTTCTGGCTTTCTCTTTTCCAGAAATTGAAATTTCTGGCCACCTTATGATTACTTGGAGCCCATGTGATTAGTTTTAGTTAGTGAATTATAAGCAACCATTAATTGCTAGTGCAAGACCCTCCTGAGCTTTGTCTCTACCACAAAAACCAGAAATGTATCTCATATCATAAATAAAAATCAACCAAAATTAGTTCAAGACTCAAACGTAAGACCTGAAACTAAAACTACTAGGAGAAAACAGGAAAAAAAAATCTCCACAACATTAGTTTGGGCAATCATTTCTTGGATACGACCCGAAAAGCACAGGAACAAAAACGAAAGTAGACAAAAGGGATTGCATCAAACTAAAAAGCTTCTGCACAGCAACGGAAACAATTAATAGAATGAAGAGAAAACTCACAGATTAGGAAAAGATATTTATAAACCATACATCTGCTAAGGGGACAACATCCAAAATACATAAAGAACTCAAACAACTTCATAAGAAAACACATAGCCCAATTAAAAATGGGCAAAGAATCAGAACAGACATTTCTCAAAAAATACATATAATGGCCCACAGATATATGAAAAACTACTCAATATCACTAACCATTAGGGAAATGAAAATTTAAAAACATAATGATATTTATCACCTCACACCTGTTAGAATAGCAGCTATCAAAAAGATAAAAGGTAAATGTTGGCTAGGATGTGGAGAAAAGAGAGCCTTTTTAACACTGGTGGTGGGAATTAAATTAATTCAGCCATTATGGAAAACAGTATGGATTCCTCAATCAAAAATAGAATCACCGTATGATCCAGCAATCCCACTTCTGGATATATATCCAAAGGAACTGAAATAAGTATGTCAAAAAGATATCTGCACTCCCATGTTTACTGCAGCATTATCCACAATAGCTAAGATATGGAAGCAACCTAACTATCCATCAACAGATAAACAAATAAAGAAACAGATAAAGAAAATGTGGTATATATACACAATGGAATACTAGTCAGCCCTAAAAAAGAAGAAAATGCTGTCATTTGTGACAACATGGATGAACCTGGAGGACATTATGCTAAGTGATATTAGCCAGCCACAGAAACACAAACACTGCATGATCTCACTTATACGTGGAATCTGAAAAAGTCAAGCTCATAAAAGTAGAGAGTAGAATGGTGGTTACCAGAGGGTAGTAAAGCTGGAGGGTGAGACAGGGATAGGGAGCAGAAGATGTCCAAAGGATACAAAGTTTCAGCTAGGAGGAATAAGTTTTATAGATCTATTACACAGCATGGTGACTAGTTACTAATAATATATATTTCAAAACTGCTAAAAGAATAGATTTTTAATGTTCTCATCACAGAAAAAATCTGAGTATGTGAAATGACAGATATGTTAATCAGATTGATTTAATCATTCCACAATGTAAATTTTATCAAAAAATCAACTGTACCCCATTAATATATATAATGATTAATTTAAAATCAAATAAATCAAAAACTGGACCAAATAATGGCAGATCATCAGCCTGAGTGCCAGAAGGGGGATACCATAAAGCATAGCCCCCAGACACCCTCAATGGACATGCATCATGTACAAAAAAAAAAATGTGTTGTTTTACACCACTGAGATTTTGGGGTTGATTGTTACCATGGCACAACAAAGTTTATGCTGATGTATACAGACTTTTGTCCAGACTTAGGTACCGCTATAACAAAAACCTAAAATATAAGTCACCATACCTAAGTGGTCAACGAGCAATTAAAAAGGAAACTGTTGTGGAAAGCTAAAAGGATAGTGATATATGTCACTCAGGAACAAACCTATTGGGAAAAACCTTTGGGAAACTCTGTGATAGCCTAGAAGGAATTTGATTTAACTAATGAATTTAAATGTTGGGAGAAGAGGCTGGAAAACAATAACATGTCAGTTGCTATTGTTTGTCAAGTTATATGAGAAACAGATTAGCTCAGAAATGGCGGTGTGTGCAAGCAAGAATAAAAACAGAGCACCCACAAATGTGAACTATATTTCAATGACAACTTACAAAAGCTATAGAATAATTTTCTTCTAAAATATTTTATTCCCCTTCAGAACTCTGCAGCATGTTTTCAGTGCCTTCCCATACTGAATGTGCTATAGATGAGTCTAAAGTAGTCCAATTGTTTTTTCTTCATCCCACTCCCCTGTTCACTTCATGCCTAGGTACCTAAAAAATTCTTTCTTTATTCTGAAAAGTTGAATGACTTCATGAGGTTACATGTCTTGGTGTTGATTTTTCTGTAGAAATTGTCCTATAGAACATAGTGTGTATCCTTTTAATCTATGTATTTTTCTTCCTTTACTTTTTATATCAAGCACATTTCTTCCTCCATTTGCTGTGGGCACATGTTAATCTTATGTTGAGTTATCTTTGTCTCCTCCATACATATTATTTTTAATAACTTTCATATCTTCGGGTTTTGCCTAGTATTCTGTCATTATTTTAAGCCTTTCCTCTACATTATAATTTGATGTGCATCTCTCTAGTCTGCTTCTTAATGCTTTTAAAAATTATTCCTTTAAGTCCTTTAAGGTGGATGTTGTCTTCAGTTAATTTCCTTAGTTCTTTTATCTCCATTTTATTTCATTTATTCATCAAATATTTACTTACTATCTACTATATGCAAGGTACTATCCCTAGTAGTGGATAAAAATCACAAGACTCAGCCCTCATAGAGCTTGAGTCTTATTATTTTGGTATCTTGTCTTGAAGTTCCTGTTTTATTGCATTCATATTCTTAAGTTCTTCTTCAGCACAAAATATATATGATGAATTTTCTTTTTTCCCCTCTTAGGCTAGGTTTTACCCCAAGGTCTTGTACTTTATCCATCTTTTACACCTTTCCTTCCTTCCTCTCCCCCTTCCCTCCCTCTCTCCCTTCCCTCCCTGTCTTCCTTCCTTCCTTCAATATTAGTAGTCCATAGGATTCCCAATGATTTTTTTCTCTTTTTCATTTTCAGCATGTGGAATTTTGTTCACTATATTTGCTCTGTATGTTAGTCAGCTATCAGTATAATAAAACTGCAGCCCAAAATTTCAGTGGCTTCAACCAAAAACATTTCTTTTCCTTATAAGATTCTGAATAGTCCACTGCAGTTCAACCAATCCCAACTTGGCTAACTTGGGTTTGCATATATGGAAGTTTTGGAGTGGCTGGCATGTGAGGCTCTACCTTGCTTGACTCTTAAGCAGAACTGTCTCTCAGTCTGATTCTCTACAGACTGGAGTTATTAATAAGACATGTTAGGACTTTTCTTTCCTATATGTGGCTTCTGGGGAATAATGATTGGGACTGCATGAAGGGTGGGGCTCTGCAAAAGCCAGTGTATCATCTCACCTAGCACTGATAACACACTGATACAGACCTATTCACATCACTGCCTACAAACTGGACCAAGACTTGCAAATTTTGGAAGTCCCAGACTTTGGGACTTTAGCATCAAGACCTAAAGTGCCCAACTCTACCTCTACCGCTGACCCCATACTCAGTAAGCAGTTAAGAATAAATCCAGCCTACAAAAATTTACTGACCAAAAGCTGCCTATTACCAAAAGAGATAAAATCCATTGCAACTTTAAACCTACCAGCTACCAGAGAAATGTAATAGTAACTACTACATGTCTTGGTGGGACAACAAAGTGTTCTAATCAATTGAATATTACAATTCATATTAGCACATATTCATAGTACACACCATATGACTTTTTATTAAACAAAGAAGACTTCTTAGAGTTTCGTAGTTCTTCAGAATTTTTGTGGAAAAGATTTTATTAAAGAAGTACTTGAGTTCTTAATTAAAATCTGGTCTAATTTGATCAATAGAAGTTTACATATTTTAATGTTTGACAATTTTAAGGAGTTGGTAGTTGTCATGCCTAATTTTTTAATCTTCTCCTCCTCTATCCCATCTAAATGCCTAGTGTTAATCTCGTCTCTTCTATCAGACTTCTATTTACTCAGCTACATCCTCAACCACTGAATCCTATTGCACTTAAAGTCAACGCCATACAATTCTTTGAGTATTTCGCGTGTATGTCTTCAATCAGGTTGTAAGCTTCTTGGTACTGGATCTATGCCTTAATTTCTTTTTAATCTTCCCAGAGAGCCTACAAGTTAATTTGAGGAGTAAACAGCGTTTAACAAATACTGGTGGGGTCTGTGATCTTAGTTTTGCCATTTTTGTCAAAGTGTATAACCATTTAGTTCCAATTGTGCCCTGACATGTCTGTTTCTCTGGGGTTTCTCTTTGCTCAACGCCATTGTTCATTTTCTATTAGAATAAAGGTCTTGTTGGACAGAGATGCTAATTCAGATTCCAGTCCCGTGGAATCTGAATAAACGGACTGATCCACCGCCCAGGGTGTTGAGGCTGTGAACAAAAATTAAACCTCTGATAGCCTACGAACAGCTTAACGATACATATTTAAAAATATCACTCCAAAGCCTAGTTACCCGCCAGTTACCCCGGCCTCCGGAGCTGCCGATGCTCAAAGATGTTGACAACGCAGTTAGGATCTGCAGTCCAGAGGCCCAGTCGCTATGGTAACGGTGAGACGCAAGTGCACTTGCGCGGCCTTCTGACGGAAAACCTTAGCCTGAACCTAGGGACGTGCTTAGCGACGGCAGCGGCTTGCGGCAGCAGGGTGACTTACGGCAGCCCTCTAGTAGAGCGCCGTTGCGGGTGGAATGCGGAAGCGGCCGCGGGCTAGCAGGCGCCCAGAGCTGGCTGCGCACCAGCATGACACAGTCGGTGGTCGTACAGGGTGAGCTACGCCGGGCAGATGGAGACCTGGTCGCCGCGGAATCCAGCCGCCTTGTTTCCTGCCTAATGTTCTATTCTCTTTCCTTCCTCTCCTCCGGTCGCAGTCGGCCAGTGCGGAAACCAGATCGGCTGCTGCTTCTGGGACCTGGCACTAAGGGAGCACGCCGCGGTCAACCAGGTACCCACCCGCAGCCGCGAACCCCCTCGCCTGTCAGCTAGGTCTTCCAGCCTATACGCAGGAAATACTCGACTTGAGCTTTCACCTGACCCGTTTAAGATGCATGGGATCTTCTCAATAAATAACGTACTGGTTTTTAAACATGTTGCTGTCAGACACACACTAAACTAAAAGAACACTGGCCGGCGACCTTAGTCTTAACATTTTTCCTGATTCTCAGGGTCTCCTCTTTATTGGTGTTCGTGTGCAGAGCAGTGAGATTGTGTATGGGAAAGTACTGTGTAAAATAGATAACACGTGTGGTTATTGTATTCCTTAATTTAACCAGTCAGCTTTTAAAAAGATCACCAAGAATCCAGAGAACGCTCATTTGATGGACCTGTTCTGCAGTCCTATGGGTGAAATCCTTTCTTTAGCACCTCCTGCTGAACTTTATCTGTAGATCCCATGGCATTTATTCTTCTAAGGAGATTGGGAAGAATCAGGCTCCGCATTTTGTGATACTTGCTTTTTCTTTTCAGAGCTTCATCCTACCCATTACAGTATTATGTAATTAAAATTGAAAGAACTTGATTTGGGCGAGAAGCGAAACCTAAATGCTATTAACATATGTTTTTCTTTTTAGAAAGGAATTTATGATGAGGCAATAAGCAGCTTCTTTAGAAATGTGGACACCAGGTAAGATGGTGTTAAAGTCTGTCACAATGGGATACTTTAAGTTTCAATAGCTTGGGAGATAATTCTTCAAAGGACAATAAAAATAGCCAGTAGCTGCAAAGTTCTGTTTCTTTGTTTCGTTATTGAAAATATATTCCTTCTATTAGATTATTAATATTATATCGTCTTGCAGAACAGGTTTCCCTTTAGTGTGACTTCTTTTAACTTAACCTTGAAATAAGTTTCATTAAAGGAAAGCTGAAATTTTCCCAGAGGGCATCTGGTTAATGCATCCTGTAATAACTAACTTTTGAAAGAAAAATATGTTGTTTACATATATGCTGTAAGTATAAAAATATACTTAAAAAGGAGACAAGCAGTTGTTGGATTGTTTTTATTTAATAAAGAGTATATGTAAGTACTATATCTCTTTTATCTGAAAGAGTAATTTAAGTTGCTGTTCAGGATATCTCCGTAAGCTTTTAATATTAAATCATTACGTTCATGCGTTTTCAAAATACTTCATAAAACTAACTGTCGTGTGCTTAAACTGAAAAATATATACTTCATATCAGGCTTTAATCCAATAGGAACATCACTTCTAGTTTAAAATTGTTGGCTGGGTATGTGAGCAGTTATCTTCTAGAGAAAGCTGGTTAGTCCCTGCTTCCTGCATGAATTCCAGAGTCTATCTAGGGCACTGGCTTGCAAACTCAGAAGTGTCATTGGCATCTTGAGATAAGTTCAGTGCTCTCCAGTACAGCCAGGTTAACCAAAGACCAAATTATCATTTTCTGTCTTAGGCACATTACGTTAGTAGGAAGTCTAACTATAAAGCTATGTAATAATCTGAAGGTTGCTTGGTGACTATGGAATCAGACCAAAGGAAGTTAGGTGTATTACTTTAATGGCTGGCATCATTTATCTTTATTTTATGGAGTTATCTGTCACATAGACTATAGATTCACTCTTATTTGTAGCCCAGAATATCCTCACCTCTAAATTCTCTTGGGAGTCTAAAATTTGCCTCTGTAATACTTCCTTTCAGACGCTTATCTTGCTAAGTTCCTACGCCCACCTCTTTACTTCTTGTTACCCAACGCTTACATTGAGTATTACATAGTTGAGAGTCAGCCTGGGAGCTTTTCTTTCTTCGTAAGGTGACTCGTCATAACTACACTCTCATCTCCTTTGTGTGTTTTATACTTTAACCTGAGAGCACTATTTTTTTCCCGGTAAGTTTAGCAAGCAGAGTTGTGGCATCTTGCACTTCTTTCTGTGTACTATGAACACATGCAACATCTGTTCCACAGCTTGGTACAAAAAATCTTTTTCGAAGTAAGACCATATCTTTGTGTACTCTTCTTACCAAATTGTTATACCTTTTGAATAGCATGATAGGAATTTACCTACAGCATGGGTTGGCATGCATGTATTTTCTGTAAAGGACCAGGAAGTAAACATTTTAGGTTGTGTGAACCATAAAGTCTTTTGCACCACTTTTGATCTGTAGCATGACTGTGGGCATAGGTAATACATAAAGGAATGGTTGTGTCTATATAAATAAATAAATAAAAGTTTATTTAGGAAAACAGGCAACTAGTTGGATTTGGCCTGACAATTGGCTGCCCTTCATATATTTTGTCTTGTGAACTGTCTTTGTTGACCCATATACTGCATTAGATTTCAGTACTTTGGCAACTTATTTCCAACGTGAAATTCTGAGAACAACCTTAGATACTCAAGGGTAAATACCAGTTATATCTGTTGATGGGTGTTTAGCTGCAACCGGAAACCACATTAATGGTGGCTTAAGCAGTAAAGATACCCATTTGTCTCACAAATCTGGAAATCAGATGTTCTAGTTTTAAAGGAATGCCTCAAAGATCTAATACTATATATATTCCACTGTCCAAAAGTGTGCTGGCTTTTTGTACTTGTATTATTACTTCATGACTATAAAATGGCAGTCTCTGCTCCAGGGATCACATCCATATTCATGTTTGAGGCAGGAAAAAGGAAGAAGATAGGCGCCAACTGCATCTCGTCGTTCTTTAAAAGCTTCCCAGAATACTTCCCCTTTATCTCATTGGCTAGAACTGGATTACATGGCCAGCCCTAACTACAAAGAAAGCCAGGAAAATAAGTACCTCACTTTTTCAGCCTAATGGGAGGTAAGCAAGGAAGAAAGAGATTAGGAATAGCTGTTGCGTCTGCCTCACCTGGCCTATAAGCAGTCTTATTATATAAATGGAAGTTAACTTTATTACCTGATAGCGCTATTAGCCATGGAAGATCTTATGACCATTTCTCATTTTTTTTTATCTTTCAGAGTGGTTGGTGATGGTGGAAGTATTTCCAAGGGAAAAATATGTTCTTTAAAAGCACGAGTAAGATACATAAGCTTGGATTCTTATATTACATGTATTTTTAAAATAACTATGCTCAGTAACTATCATGAGAATAAAACTTTAAACTTTTCAAAGTAGAAAAAAATTACTAAGCCATATTTAATATAAATATAACTAAGCAGACATTTGTGTCCACCTAACACATTAGGGGGAAAAGCCCGTACTTTAGAACACTGTAGTTAGCCTTTTTTCAGGAGAAATAGTGTCTACATAAATAACAAAAGGAGCCTTCTTAACTCTAAGGACCTGAAATACATACTAGTACAGTTTAATGTTTTATTCAAAGATATTGGAAGATTTATTTGCCTCAAGGTTACTACCAGTACAAAACATGGAACCAGCCACATCGTAGTGAATAAAAACCGTTAACCATGTAAGTTCTCCTGAACCAGGTACTTCAGATTCATAGCCCATGTTTACAGTCTTATTTACGGTCTTAATCATTCCAACAATATTTCTGTGATTGTTTCTGTGTAACGAACTACTTTTTCTGATTTTTGGTCAGTGATCTTTGACTGTAACAGAAAAGAAAGTTTAAATGTTATGGAAGGAATTGAGATGCTAAGGATCAGACCTGGAGTAGTAGCTTAAAGACTGGTGAGCAATACTTTTGTGACATCTGGGAACCATCTTCTATCTGCAATCTCTGATGTCCTTGGAAAACAAAATTTAGGGCAGAGATCATGTGCTTGCAGGCTGTTACAAAATTGACTAACACAGTATGTTTTGTGATGTAGCAAGAGCAGGTATCCCAATCCAAATCTTAGAGAAAAAGAGACTGACATTTCCTAAACTACTCCCAACTGAATCTTTTTCCTACAACCATATCAGTAAGCAGATGGAGAGGTGGAGGAAACACTATTAGGAAAAAATAAATCAGCATGTTTTTGTGGCCTTTGACTTTTTTTCCGAGAAGGTACTCTTCCATTTTCTCCTTAGGAGCTCTCAGTATTGTGTGGTTGTGATCACTGTAGAGTCCAGGCTTCACAAGATAGCTTGGTGCTTGGGTCCCTCCACTGTGTTCAGTTTCTTAGGTTAATGAATACTCAGAATTTTATAAATCCTATGTTACAAATAGGGAAAAACTAGGCGGCTCTGAAAGGAAATACAAACATCAAATCCTGAAACAGTTGTGACTCCAGACCTTGGATGCCTAAGTGAAGAACCCAAAATACTCTCCCAAAGTTTAGTTAATTTCCAAAGGAAAAACAAGGGCCTGATGTAACAAGGAAGGTCTGGAAGAGTTATATGTCAGGATTTTGATGTTAAGTGACTAGGGCAATAATGATTCTATCGAAACTAATTTCAGGAGGTACCTAAATATCAGTTTGTATTTGCATATTGCTTCCCTTGCCAGGTAGCAGAGTAATTGAGGGTATAATTTATGTATGTTTAATCTTCCACATACCTCAATAAATCTATTTTGGAACAAGGCCAGTATAATCTAATTTGTTTTTTCTTTTATAATCTCACAACTTGTAGTACTAAAATTTGCCCATACAGTGAAGTCTCTCTTTGGTTGGTTTAGGTGTTAAAGTCGTCAGCATTTGAAGTCAAAATTGCATATTGTCAGAAATATCCTTGAAAATACC